GGTCAGGGATTAAGGTGTTTCGGGTTTAGGGCTTAGCTTGGCCCCCGAGCCCTCAACTGTTCGAAGCCGGGACCAGGCTGCTTTTGCGCTGGCAAAGCTATCCGCCCGTGACCAGATTGCATAAAACCACACTCAGCCTTGCGTGCTGAAATCCCCAAACCCGAAACCCCACGCCTGTGCGAATCTTCAAATCGAAGACAGCCCCCTCCAAACCCGAAACCCCAAATTCGACTAACAGAACACTCAAGCGTACACCCTAAGCCCCAACCGGAAACCAAGCCCTCATGAACTAATGAAACCTAAACCCCAATGAGCCCTCTAAGCCCAAACCATGCAAACGCCAGGGGCACCAGGTGCACGCGCTTGCGTCGCTTGCGCAAAGGCGGATCCTCAGGTTGGCGCCTGAGGGCCAGTAGAGACCACCGAAGAAAGCTACTTCTCAAACGGGCCAATAACATCAACAATCAAGATCATGATAACAATGATAATCATGCTCATATTTTCCAACAGATGAAGGTTGAAAAACATCACTATGTATTTAAGAGTCGTCGTCGTCGTCGTAGTTAGCAGCAGCAGTAGCAGCAGCAGCAGCAGAAGCAAAAGCAGCAGCAGCAAAAGCAGTAGCAGCAAAAGCAGTAGCAGTAAAAGCAGTAGCAGTAAAAGCAGTAGCAGTAAAAGCAGTAGCAGTAGCAGTAGCAGTAGCGATAGCAGTAGCAGTAGCAGTAGCAGTAGCAGTAGCAGTAGCAGGAACAGTAGCAAGCAATGTTAGCCCGCCCTCTACCCCCAGCCGAACTCTCGGAGTTCTTGCTTGAGCCGCGACTTCATATTCATAGTAGTAGAGCTTGGTGTTCAGGGGTTAGCGTTTGGGTTTGAGTTTGTTGGGCCCTAGGGGCCGGGTTTGAGAAATTGGTTGAGGGGTGGCTTTGGTTGTCATTGAAGGTTTGAGGTCCACGGTTCTGGTCATGACCATGCTTTCCGGGAGTGTCGCATGCGTCACACCAACTATATTTCTTAATGTTCAATTCCCACGCCCGAGAGCCCCCGGTAGTCAAGTTCGTGAAGCCCTCATACCAGAGAAACCCGAAAACCTAAATCGGGTTTCAGGAGGCTTCGCGAACCCGAAACATGAGCAAACCTTAACCTTAGACGCCCTAGACTACGAGCCGAAGGGGAAGAGGGCCTGCGCGAAAGTGACGCCTGCGGCCGGCCCTCCCGCTGCAGCAGGTTCTTCTGGGACGCCTCGACATGCAAGATCCAAAGCCGTCCGGCCTGCAATGTAAACCCCCTAGAATTCCCTGATTATTGGGTAGGTCGCGAGCCCAACACCTTCAATCCCAAGCCCTTCTCCCAGCCTTCTTGCCCTTCGCTGGCTTCGCGCGCGGAGGCTGGCCCGAAGCCAAATAGTCCTGGCAGCTCAGACACTCCAAGCTGTCGCCGTGTTCGTCGCAGAAAGGCAATCAGGAGTCTCGGCAATCAGCGTTGCAGAACGAGAAACGCCAATCCGATGGAGACAGAGACGCCTTCAGCTCGTTGTAGTCTTCACCTTTAACAGCTTGGAAATTGTTGGGATCTTGCGGGCTCAAGAACCAGACTGGCGCCTTCGACGCTTCCTAGGTGTCTCAATCTTCAATCATCTTCTCCCCCTTCATTGTTCAAGGTGCAGGTGCTGGAGCAGGCGCTCTAGGCTGTCACTTCTGTTGCGAGTCACGCTTCTAGGACCTTTCTGCGGGGTGAACGATCTTGGCCATCAGAACCCCAGGCTGAGCTTCGACCAGTACCCCGGATCTTGAGCCTTCAAAAGGCGACACGACCTAGGGATTGATCTAAAACTGTTTGATAAAAAGGGGCGACAAAGAAAGAACAGCAACAGAAGATCATTCAACAACAGTTGCCCTACAACTCAAGTCAACCCCCCGTGTCTATTCAAACTCAGACTCCGGCTGTTTGCCACGCTTCGTGCGGCACTGTGCGCCCTGCGGACCTTCGGCTCCAAGAACAGCGAAGCTTCAAGGGACACACTGCTGACAGCTTGTGCGGCTTCACTCCTAGTTTGATGTGCTTTCGTTTTGGGCTTGGGGGGGGGGGGGTGGAGGTAGACCTTGCGGCTCAACAGAATTGCTCTCCCTCTCTTTAGCCGCAGGGCATGGGCCTTAGTTTGTGGACCTCGGGAATGCGGAGATCAGGCCATGACATGACTTTGGATGAAGATGAAACGGCACCGTGGATCCTGACAGCGCTCTGCGGAACACCGCCGGCAGCACGGCAATGTCCCAAATCCCTACACTGCAAAGGATTTAGGGTTTAGGGTTCCCTAAACCCTAAACCCTAAACCCTAAACCCTAAACGAGTCCCGGTTGGAAGATCCCAGCCTTCCCGGACGCATAGCTTCGCCCTCTCGAGGGCCTGCGTGGCTTAGGGGCGAATGTCGATGGAGCCGCTTCCCTCAACCAACTGATATCAACCCTGAAGCCTCAAGCTCGAAACCCTGAAGTACAAAAGCTTTCAGCCACTCACAAGCCTGAAGGCTCAGAATACTCCTGCCAGCAAAAGGTATGGAGGTAGGTGGTTGAAAGCCCCAGCGGCCCTAGCGGCCAGCTAGGGGAACCCAGTCGAACCGAGTGGAGAACCGAGTGGAGAACCGAGTGGAGAACCGAGTGGAGAACCGAGTGGAGAACCTAGTGGAGAACCTAGTGGAAAGGAACCGAGTGGAACATAGTGGAAAGCATCATAGAAATTATCATATTCTTGAGCGCGCCCTCAGAGCGGAACTACTGCAGCGGCACGACTTGGAAACGATGTGTCGGTTGAGGAGCCAGCCCTCAAAAGGTCGGTGAGGAGACTATGTCGTTCACTGGTGCTTTGGAGAAGGTCCGAAGGTCGTTCGACATGCGGTGCTTTGCACCCTGGAAGCATACTTACAACGATGCTCAGGGAGTTGGGCGCCACCAACAGCTTGAGTTGGGCGCATTCGGAAAGGAGCTGAAAGGAGCTGCTTTCCACTTGGACGGCGCCTCCAAAGTTCAGAAAAACTTCTAGCGTCATCCAACACACCCCTCTTTCCCCTCTTTCCCCCATTCAAGCTCCGAGCCTTGGCGCGCTTCTCCTTGAGCCGCCGCTCCCCGGATCCGGGGAGCGTGACCGCTTCCGGCCCTGGCTGTGGCTAAGCGAGCGGCTGAGGTCCCGGCCTGGGCTGAGAGAAGCTCTAGGGATGCAAAGCACTGAGTCTGCTGCTGATGGGCGTGTGCAATTGGATGGTATGTTCAGCTGCAGGTTTGCCATGTTTTGCCACGAAGGTTGTCGAGCCTGGAGGGCTGGGGGAAGTTTAGGGACTTTGGGGTTTGAGGATGCTGGATCTTGGGAGGAAGCGGATGAAGCGGATGACCCCAAGTCCAAACAACGACGAGAACGAGATCCCGATTTTCCTCCTGCGGGTTCCACGGGCCGGCTGCTGATACTTCCTTGCACTGCCGCACTTGCAGCAGTAGGCCAACATCGTGGCCAATTTCCAGCAGAACACCCGGGTGCTAAGGGGCAGGCCGGGAGGCGATGGGGCTGAGTGTTCAGGATTCAAATTCAGCGGTGTTTGGGATTGTTCTTGCTATCACCCCTGCGGCCCGCTTGATGCTCTGTTGCAAAGACTCCGAGACCCAGGCCCCGTGCGAATAGACTGTGTAGGCGCCACCGGGAGAGCCTAAAACCCTCAAAGATCTTTAAGACCCAAATGCCTTACGCCCAAAATCCTCCAAAACCAGAGCACTTGGCCTGGGCTTGTCAAATTCCAGCAGATTAAACTCAGCTGCTCGATTTCGCAGCTGAGGATGAATTTCGCCGGGAAGGGGGAGCGCGGTCACGGCGGCTCTTCCACCTCCTCCGCACTGACTGTCCGGGACTAGAGCCTTGAAGACGCACTTCCGGTTCGGAGTTGAGGTATACTCAGAACTAGGAGTCAGAGATCCCCGGAGTCAGAGATCCCCGAGCCCTAAACTCAGCGAAGCCCTAGAGCTCCTGAAATTGACTTCATTGACTTCCCCACAGGGTGAAGGCTCATGGATTGTCCCATCTCCCGGTTGCAAGGCTCATCGGCGGTCTTCTCTTCCCAAAATTGCGGGTACCGGTTTTTGGGGGTTGCCAGTACTATAACAGGCGATTGGAGCATATTTGGGCACCTATTCTTACAGAATGCCCACCCGGGTCTCAGGCAGGCTTGACGCGCGGACGCAAGACTGGATGGGCCTTGCTTAAACCAATTCAACGGAGATGTTGATGGCGTCAGTAGGGCTCCTTGTGAACCGCCGCGCCATTTCTGCATTCCCGTCTAAAATTGGTGCAACATGGTGCAGCTATGATCAGAGAGCGTCCCCATAGATCGCAGTCGGGGGCTCGTCCTTAACCCCGAGGTGATTGTAGGAGCGGCAGCTTAAACTGTAGACTTTCTAAAGCCCAGACTTGATTCCTGAACTCCCGCCACACAGAAGCCACAACCCCTTTCTCGTGCACCTGCAGCCCTCTGCTAAACCACGGGACAGCCTACAAAAACAATGTGTGTCCCTCCTTTTTCTGCACTCAAGCCCCCGCTACGCTACACAGAAGAGAGCTCCCTGGCTAAAACATTCGGCGCAAGGATTCGAAGAGGTCGAGCTGCCAGTATCGAAGATCCCCCATAAGGCTCTGAGCAAGAAACGACAGTGCCTCACCCACACCCTCATGCACTCTCTGCCCTCGACCTACCCTGAAGGCTTAAACACCAGATGCCATGCAGGTTTGGGGGTTTGGGGGATTCAAGGCTACGCCGATACTGTCAGCCGTCGGTAGTACTGACCTGCAAGCTCTAACCACACCGGCAGGGCCCTCAGCCGGTACCTTCAAGTGAGTGGGGCTGACCTGGCTGACCTTTAGCACCTTTCTCTGCGTTGGAGCTTGGAACCTTTAAGTTGAAGGTACAGCACGCATCCTCGTTATCCTCGCTGTTCATCGAATTCACTCAAGACCACCCAGCTCGCTCAGAGGCCACCGGAAAGAAGACCTGCAGCAGGCGCCTGAAACATAATTCTCGTTGAATGATGACTTTTTGTGTTACTGTGCTTTCAGGGCTTTCACGCTATCCCTCGTCCACCCATCATGTGCGTCGCAGGGATGAGGGTAGCTACTGCGCAGCGGCAACTAGGAAGAAGCAAGTGTGTCCTTCCTCTGAACTATGAGGAACATGTTAGCTTGCACGCGGCTCTAGCCAACCCAGGCCCATGTCGACCATGATACACCAAAAACTTGCCGGGTGCACCCGGCGCATCTTCCGCCTTCGGCGCACCTGCCACGAGGGTGAGGCTGACGCCAGAGACTTAGGGTTTAGGACTTAAGGGGGTTAGGGCTTGCGGTCTTAAGGGCTTAGGGTTTTGGGCCTTGGGTTCTCGAATTCTGTGCCTGTTAAGTCGCTCCTCTCTGATTCGACGAAGCATCCTGTGCGAGATCAGACCTTGACCTCCGAGAATCCCGCCGGAAACTCCTAAACCCTAAAACCCCGAAAAGAAACCCTAAAACACCCTGAAACCTAAAGCCCCAAACACCTCAAACAGGAGCCCTGACTAACAACCCCAGAAAACACCCCCCCCCCCCCCCCAAAAAAAAAAAAAACAAATAAAATGACATATATATATATATAAAGAAAAACCTGAAAACTACTGGAAACCCTGAAAGAAACAAAGAAAAAAAAACTCGGTTGCGCCTCACCCGGTGGGCACAGGTGGCAGTGAAGGCAGCCTTGACCCCGGGCGCAGCCCTGGCTCTTCCAGAACCTGGGACGGTTTAGGGTTTAGGGTTTAGGGTGTAGGGTTTAGGGTTTAGGGTTTAGGGTTTAGGGTTTAGGGTTTAGGGTTTAGGGTTTAGGGGGTTTGGGGTTTCGGGGGTTGGGGGTTTAGGGTTTAGGGTTTAGGGTTTAAGGTTTAGGGTTTAGGGTTTTTAGGGTTTAGGGGGTTTAGGGTTTAGGGGGTTTAGGGTTTAGGGTTTTGGGTTTTGGGTGAGTAGAACCCACAACCCTAAAGTGCTATATATGGGGCCTCGATCCACCCAGCATATGGATTTCGGGTTCTGAGCGGTTAGGGGCATTGGACGTCGAACGAATCGCTGGTTTGGCCGCAGACGACGCCTGGCAGAAAGAACGACAAGGGCCAATGGCCTCAAGTTGTCCTAAAGGCACAATATAACCCATACATGCTGCTCCATGATCAGAAGATAGAGCATAAGATGCAGCTATCCAAGATGAGAAATACTTGAAACTAGTTTTCACCTTTAGACTCAAAATACATAACACTATCCGGAACATATTTTGCTGTATCGAACAGAGAAAAGTGCTGAATATGTATCTGGCAGAACCGAAGAAGAATCTGACAGGAAGCCGCAATTTCTTACAACAAGACTCTACTAAGAACAGTTGATGATGACAAAACAACAGACCAGATGGGTCACCAACTTCACACGCCTCACTATTAAGGTTTGACCTTGTGGAGAGGAGAACCCTTGAAATCAGTATATGCTTCATCACGAACGACCCGTTGAAGCCACCGAAAGCAGCCAGAAGGTGCAGAAGAGCCGCCACATGCATGGCTTGCATTGGCCGCTGGAGTGGAGGAGGGCGCCCAGCGAGGGCTCCACGCGTCGCGTCTCGGAGTCGGTGTCGCTCTTGTCGCTCTTGTCGCTCTTGTCGCTCTTGTCGCTCCTGTCGCTCTGGGATTGTCCCGAGCTGAACTCGAGGCCGGGAGGTGGCCGGAGTCCCAGCTTCGCCTTGCGCCGCTTGCGATCCTTGACCTCCGTTTCAGGACAAAGGTGGCAGTGAAGGCAGTCAAGTCCATTCTTGCATCCCTGGTGTTTCCAAAACCAGGCGCAGGGCTTGCACAGCCCCGTGCCGTGCTGCAAGGAGCCCCTGGAGGGGAGAACCTTCAGGAGCTGCGGCGGCTGTGCCTGTGGCTCCTCCTCCTCCTCCTCGCTGGACCCAAAGGGGGCTTCTCCGTCCAGTCTGAAGCCTCAGCTGACCCGAGTCCCAGTCGGTCAAGGGCTTCAGGGGCTCAAGGCTTCAAGGGTTCAAGGGCTTCAAGGTTTAAGGGTTCAAGGGTCTGGGAGTCTAGGCCTTACGGAACCTACTTCTTCGGCACAGGACTTTCGCGTTCTGATCTGGCAGGTGGCTTTGGCCATAAGCTTCATAATATGCTTGGGCCTCCTGCACAGGCAACTTCTCATCGTCGATAAGATCTGCGATCCGGATCTGCATTGGAGCCAGAAAGCAGTCGGCGGAGAAGGTCATGGCCTTTGATGTTTCATACAAAAGGGCTTGCAGAACAGAGCCAGTGGTTGTGGCGACAGTGAGGCACAAGACCAGCCCCTTCAATTCTCTCTCACTCAGACCCGTTGAAACGTATATGGAAAGCGTTGAAACCTATATGGAAGGGTCTTGAGAAGCTCTGATTGTACTGTACCAGAAATGCCCCCCCCCCCCCCCCCCGCCCAAAATCCTGCAGGCATCGGCATCTCAACTGTAGAATGCATATGGCGAGCTCTGATGGAAGAGCACACACCTACAAATCAACAGCACAGGTTCAGCCAGGTCTCGGCAGGGTGGATGGCTGGTCTTGACTAATATTGGGCCACAAAAGCGCTGCAGGCCACGCAAAGACGTCAGTTGTGGCTCATTCTGAAGCCTTACACCTAGTTCAGCACTTCGATGAGAATGTCTTTCTGACACACAAACAGAAGCTACTGGGATATCCGCCGAGGCCGGAGGCCTGAGGCGTTTAGATCCAGGTCAAGGCAACTTTTCATAGCTGTACCCACCTCCCTTCCACACCCACCTCCCAAATGCTAAGGATCCACAAAGCCCTTCAGACACATCGAGACCAGGACTGATCGCAGCCGCTGGGTCCCGAGCCAACGCTGAAAGTCCTGCAGATGTTGCGATTAGGCTGTTCAGGGTTGAAAGTAAGAACCTTAGGCTCCCTTTTCTCGGAAACCTTTGGGACAGAACTGCTAGTAAAATAGTGCCCGCGCGAGGAACCGTACTTTTCAAACGCCACCAGGCACACCAGAAGGTGGCAGGTGCTTCCCATCTCCAGGAAAGCAGTGCTATTTTGAGATGTCCATTTGGGGCTCGGGTTTAGGGTTGCAGGTGCAGCTGCCTCCTGCACTGATCAGCGCACTTGAATCTCCCGACGAACAGTTTGAGTCTCTCAAGCCGTCCTGCTGCTGGCACAGCTCTTCGCATCACTGCCCGAATACCTGCGGCCAGCTTGGAGCGAGAAGAATGGCTGGGCCCGAAATCATCTTAAAGGCCCAAGGCCGTAGCCTGCATGAAGCACCTTGATGTTAAGCTCTTGAGACTTGAGCCCACTGCTAAGCCCCGAAGCCCAGAGTCAGTAGTTGAAGAACAAGGTTGGCAACTAACTTCAGTCATGCTCGCCTCTCCAAGAGTTCCCCGAACAATTCTACAAAACCAACGCAGCTGGGCCTACCGGGGCCTACCGGGATCTACCGGGGCTTGGGGTGTCCCCGCGGCACTCGTCATCGCTGTAGTAATCGCTGAAAGCATCGCTGGAGCAGTCGTCGTCTGACCGCGCCTGCTCATTTGGTACTGCGCGGAGGCATGTTGCAATTTGAAGGATGCGCGATGTCCGAAAGAGGTCGCATCTAGGTATTCTTGGGCACTTGACGGCTTTTGAGTATGGAACTGGAATGCATTCGACGCGCATGCGCACAAAGAAGGGGCAAAGCCTTACCTTCACGACACATGTGACACTTCTCCCCACTGGCAACAGCAGCTACAGTACCTCTCGGACATGCTTCTTTTGGGTTTCCCAGTGCTTGTCCGAAATCCACCAGCTCAGGCCCCCCCCCCCCTTTGCCGGCAAGCATAATACCCGCAGTCTTCCTAAAGCGCAAAAAGCCCTACAACTCTGAAGCCCTAAACACGAACGACTGACCTCCCTCAATCCCTTGAATCAGATTCCCAACTCGCGAAGCTGAATGCGCCAAAGGTCCTGTCCTAGAAGACTTTGGAGTTCAGGCTTTAAGGGTTTAAAGGTTTTGGGCTCTGGAATGCATATAGGCTGAAGCACTTCAAGAGGTCTTAATCGACACCCTCAAAGTCACTTTCCAGGTCCTCAGGAGACCTCTACATACCTGAGCCCTGAAATCCTGAATCAAATACCGTGATCCAGCCTTCCTCCTTCTGGTCGGCGGGCGACGACAGGCCGGCGGCATAGCTTTTAAGGCTTGTTTCTACGAGATTCTATGAGGTCCCGGGCTGTGAGAGGTGCTTAGGTGCCCAAACGCCTAGGCTGGCGCGTTAGTCTTCGTTTCCCCCGGCGGATTCAGGTGTTGTGAGAAGGGCTTAGGGACGTGTGGGGCTTGAGGCTTCAACTTTCATACGGTTTTGGCTGCAGTGCAGTGGGTTCTCTGCAGCACGACGTCCGCACTATGGTACTGGTACCACGCGCTGCACGGGGCAGGGTCAAAGACCTGAAGCCATATGGCTGACAGCTACCTTCAATGCAGAAGCCTAGAACCTGAACCCCAAACCCTGTTTTCTTGACTGTACCCCGGCCAGAACCAACAAGGAGGCAACCCGACCCCGGGACCTGATCGTCGGCTCATCCATAGCCTGGTGTCAAATCTTTGCACGTGCAGACCTGTGCAGCCCTGGTAACAACATATCAATTCAACGTGGGCGTTGCTAGTGGGTAGAGGGAAGATCGTTGGCCAATCGACGGTTGCTCGCTTGGCGAAAGCACGTCTGCACTGCAGCGACGAGCAATCGCCCCCTTGTTGCCCAAGTAAGCACTCGCCCTTCCCCAGAGGCTCGTGCGGCCACCACTGAAGTGAGCTGCGCCAAGCGGTTGGGTGCCTCGTTTGAGTTGCAGGCTTCTTGGGGAGAGACAGGATGCGGCATTTCCAGGGAAGAGCCTCTACAAGAACTGGAGCCTTGCGGCTTAGCATTTTCTGAAGGCCTGCATGCGGCACTCCGAGAGCAAGGCAGACGCCAGGGCGATCTCGCTCCGGAGATCCAGCACAAGGCGATCTGTGGGAGGACCTGCAGCATATTCGCAGGTGGTTAGGGCAGGGATCCGAGGCTTTAACAAGGAGGTGGCTTCAACATGAAGGTCCCCCATACACTCCCATACCATACCAAGGTCAATGCAGACCACGAAAGACCGACCTGCAGGCGGCAGAGTTTCGCCTCACAGGCCCGTCTGGGACTCTGGGAAGCCATGGAAGGCTTCTTCAACACCCTCACCACAAGCTCAAATCCAACGCTCGTCTCCTGACCTCTCCCGAAACCCGAAACCCTACAGGTCCCTAAACCTCAGCCCTCAAGCAGAGGCAAAGCCTTGGACCCTGACGATTTTTGCTGGCGTCGTCGAGGGTGCAGGTGGTCACCTCACATCTTTGCTTGCGGGGATTCAGGGCTTCTAGGGTTCTAGGGTTTCGGGTCCAGGGTTTAGGGCTTCAAGTTTAGGGTCTTAGGTTTAGGGTTTCGGGTTTACAGCTTCGGCTTTTAGGCCTTCTAGGGTTCAGGGTTTCGGGTCTAGGGTCTCGAGTTTAGGGTTCAGGGTTTGGGTTTCGGGCTTACCGTTTCGGGTTTTAAGGGCTTCGGGTTTAGGGTTCTGGGTTTATGCAAGCGGTCCCCAGGTCGATCCAGAAGCAAAAAAGGGTTTTGGGTTTCGGGTTTAGGGTTCAGGTTTCGGGTTTAGGGTTTAGGGTTTCGGGTCTAGGGTTTAGGGTTTCGGGTCTAGGGTTTAGGGTTTAGGGTCTAGGGTTTCGGGTTTAGGGTTTCCGGTTTAGGGTTTCGGTTCTAGAGTTTCGAGTTCAGGGCTTCGGGTTGAGCTTAGGGTTGAGAATCCCGTTGTATGCATCACAAAACGCCTCCCCAAACAGGATACAAAAGGGCCCTTGTGTAGAACAAGCTCCAACCCTTTCCGAAACTCCCAAAACAAAGCAGCAGCTGGACCGCACGCTGAACCACCATTCCCAAAGTGCCTAGACAACTAACCGTCATTTAGTGGCCACCAGTCCCCCGAAGGGGCCGCCCCAAGGGGCGTGTTCAAGCGATCCAGTCTGTGCGTGCGTTTCACGTGGAGTGATCGAGAGAACCAGTAGACTTAGGAACATAGTCACACCATATGCACATGTCTGTTTTCCACTGTCTGTCTAGCTGTTCATGAGGCTAAGTGGGCCACACGTTGTGTTGGCTGACACTGAATTGAAGAGCAACAGCAGCTCAGCGGGGCTATGTACAATGTGTGGTGGGCCAAGCTACCTCGCATTTGTACTCCCTTAATCTGGTTTGGCGTCTTCTCCCCTTCCGAGGTAGGAAATCAGCCTCAGGTTACGTGCGACGACCTCAGGTAACATGCCCCCTCTCTCCCTCTCTCCCGCTCCCTCTCCTCCTTCTTCCGCTGGGCTTAGAGAGCCCCGAAGGACCCCCGCTCCTCTTTGTTTTTTTCTCTCTCTTGCTCGCTCTCTCTCGCTCTCTCTCTGTCTCTCTCTCTCTCTCTCTCTCTCTCTCTGTCTCTCTCGCTCGCTCTCTGTAAGTTGACTCTAGAGAATGAGTATGAACAAATGAATACGAAAGTAAATGCACGCATAAGGGTGCGTTGCTAGGTCGACGTTTCTGGACAGGGGCGCAGCATGCAGAAGCAGCACAGAATAATTCAAAGATTTGCCTTTTGCATGCGATTGGGTTCATGTTGAACACGTTGCAAAACTTGCGCAACGCAATGAATCCCTCGGACTTGGCGCCTTCTCCTCTGCCACCACAGAGCCCCCTGCAATGCCCTGAGCAAGGTGGGCAAAGTCTCGCTCAAGCTTTACTGTCACCTGGCATGGCCTCTAAGACTTGTCACTGCACACACAGGTTGCGCCTTTCAAAAACGAATGTTGCCGCCTCAGCATCTCCAGCATCTCTAGCTCTTAAAGTCTTAAAGTCCGAAAGGCAATGTTCAGGAACATAGTAACATAGCATGAAGAGGACGCGGCTGGGCCTGGAGTGGTTTCCACACCACCTGAGCAAGCAGGTAATTGAGCTTTTCAAGCTGTTGGATCCGGGGTTGGGTGCTGTAGCCCTGCTTTACGGCGACATCTGGTCTTCCACACCTTGATGCCCGAGACCCTGAACGGAGCACAAATTGCCGAATTGCAAGCCCCGCTGGACCCCGGACAGGAAGGCTACCATCGCTGCCCGTCGACTCCGCCCGAGCCTTGCCTACGGCAGATGGAGACCATGAAGCCGAAACCCGACAGACCCTGAATTGACCCTGACAATTCACCGGAAGGCTTCAGATCCAGTGCCCTCAAAGCCTCAAAGAGGCAAGGGAACCAGATCACAAACCCTGAGCCTCAAAACCCTCCGACAGAAACCAGCATAAGCCTCCCTTTTCGGAGGAGCCGATCCCGTCCCAACTTGAGGTACCATCCCCCTCATTGAACCCCTCCCAAGAACAAAGCCTGGTAGAGGTGCTCGGCCGGCCCCTGAGACCGGTAGCGGGGCCTTAGCATCAGGAAGATCCGGGCAACTGAAGGCGCTGGTTTTGTGCCTGCTTTCCGGATGCAGAACGTGTTGTGCACCCACACAGACATGGATGCAGATATGTAGAAAGATTAAATGATCTCTATATATATACATACACACATATATGCAGCTCTTTGCTTGCTTCTTTCGGCGCATAAAGTGGGATTTCAGGGTTCGAAGGCCCCGGACGGGCGCAGGGAGCGCTCCCGCAGGGCCTCAGAGGAGGACATCTTTGAAGGACAGAGGGCTGCAAGTCTGTCGGGCTTAGCGTTTTTTGGGTTTCGGGTTTCGGGTTTAGGGGATATGCGGTGTGGGTTGAGGATCTGGGGTTGAGGGTGCTCATCGTTGTGCAGTGTTTGTGGGATTTGAGATGACGATTCAGGGTCTTGAGTACCAAGCATCAGGACTTCAGAAAACCGCATGTGGCCAGCGTGACATGGGCAAACTGGGATGAACTCCCTCCTCTCCCTTTCCCATGAATAATGGCTCGCAACAACTTTCATCGACAGCCCAACCCTAAACGAGAGTCGATTGGGCAAAAGCTTTCATGGCACAGCCTCGATTGCAAGAGGCGCATCTGGTCCCACTTCGCCCTCCGCGACATACACCTTCGAATGCAGAGAAAGGTCGAGATAGGCAGAGCATCTCTGTACAGCTCCCCTGTGTCGCCCTCCATCACCTCAATGCTTCCCGGGCCTCACCCGACGTTAGAAACGCTACGCTTTCCTGCGCTTGCAGAGATTTCCAGAGGGTTTCCTCGCCCAGAACTTCTCGGACCCTAGGATGCCACCACCTAGCACCGGTATGCTCAACAGTATAAAATATGCACATAGTCAAAGAACACATTCTAATTGCGATGCTTATTGATAGGTCTATAATGTTCTATACGTATGTATAAGTAAGGCCTCCTCAGCAGAGAAGAGGACGAAGGAGATCGTCACTTCGGCCGCTGCGCTGGCTAAGACCTGCAGCAGCTACTGCGGTCGAGTGAGAGAACATCCTAAACCCCTTACAACAGGGTTTTCTATTGCTTTGGATGATACTGGCTTCCTCAAGCTCAGATCTTGAGGCACAAACTCCTGTTCCTCTACACTCTGGCGACACACTGCACTGGCCTCCACGCTCGCAATCCAGTCCTTGGCCGGGATTCCGGGTTAGACCCTGAATCCCAGAAGAAGAGCTATGGTTTTGGGCTTAGAGGTGTACCACGCAGACATAGGCTTGTTGTACCTTGATTCTGGCTAGAGCTACAGTCAGCTACCCATGAGCCTTCACGCGGAAAACCGCCATGATTCAATCTGGCCTGCGTTTCAGTTTCGGTTTTGTGCTGGAGGTTTGGGATTGTAATCAGGGGGTGATTGAAGCACATGCATCCCAGGCCAATTGTGGAAGCATGTGCTCATTCACGTCGGGACAAGAGCCACTTATTTCAGATGAACCTCAGGCGCCAGAAACCCTAAACCCTTAACCCTAAGGCCCTAAACCGCATACCCAAACCCGAAGACCGAAAACGTCAAACCCCAAACGCTTTTTTGCTGCCTCGCTCTTTATCCGCTTGAGACGGCGCTGCACCGCCTGGCCGAGCCACCGCCAGTCCTGCTTTAGATGTATAAAAATCAACTTTACGATCGTCTGTATTGTTGATGTATATTTGTTCTTCTACTTTCTTTGTTTATTCTTTTGTCTATGTACCGATCTTACGCGCTTCCTTGCTTAAATGATACACTTTGTACGTATTAGCTAGACATTGAATTTTGCATGTTGTACACTGAAGAGTATCTTTTACATTAAACATAGGATGGGTTCAGGCTCTGGTCGGGAGTGCGGAAGCCTGTGGTCACTGCAGTCCCTCAGTGTCCTGCCTAAGTTACGCTTCTAGCTGCGATCGGAACTCGAAAAACCCAAAAGCCATTCATGGTGGCCCACTGAAGAAGCTAAACCATGCTGCGAAAAACATCTGTAAGCGTTTGATTCTACACACCCTCAGCTTACGCAGCTGAGCACAACTATGAATCCTTTGCCCGGCCTGCAGGATTCCTAAGCCTGAAGGTCCTTGAGGCCCCAGACCCTCGACCCCAAAACCCAGGCCCAAACACCCCCAAAACCCTGAAGGGCTGTCTCCTCGTCGTCCAAGGTCACCGGGCCAGCTCGGAAACAGCGCTCCCGCCGTTTCTGGAACAATGTGAGTGGGGCTTAAGGCAGTTTAAGGGTTCAAGGGTACGGTAGAGGATTCGAGTTTGGGCATGCATGTGAAAATGATTTTTCCACGAGCTCATGGTCGCGCCAATGTGTTGTGAAGTTCTGAGTCTGGAGCTTCTCTCGAAACCTCCTCTCGAAGGCTTGGGGTCTTTGCGGCGGACTGTCCAAACGAGGGGCCATGTTGCGCGTACTTCTCCAACATGTATTCTTCGAGCTACACTTGGGCTTCGATGTGAACAGGCCCACCAAACTGAACTCGTTGTCGATCCTGACCCGGAATCCCTCCAACACCCAAAACCCCCTCAACCCGCAACCCTCCACCCAAAACTCAAGCCCTTCTGCCTGCAGCTCCTCTTGCTCCCTCGGCACTCTGCCAGACGTAGCCTCCGGTGAGACACCTGCTGCCAGGCTCCCATGACTTGCAGGGGCACCCTGAGCCCAGGACCCCAAGCAGAAACCACATCCTACCACATCCCAGAGGCCCAGAGGCCCCCCCTTTTTTGCTTGTAAGTCCAGGCCTGGTGCTGGCACCAAGGCCCTGCGGTGGCCGTAGAGGAAGGTCACCTTTGATGGTCTTGAAGGGAACCCGAAGATCTTGCCTCATTCCCCGCGTGAACCCTCAAGGTGGGACAGCACTTAACACCACCAAAAGAACCGTTGAGGGAGACAGCTCTGCTGAGCAGCTCTCCCTCACTAAGCGAAGCAACTTGACAGGATGAGCTGCCTCTTGGCGTAGATTCGAGGCCCTTCTGCAAGCTTCTCTCTCATGGCCCCCGTGTAGTTTGGTTGTTTCTCGAAGTTCAGAAGCCGCAGGCTTGGGGGTTTGGTGTTGTGTTAAGACTGCTCGGGCCTGGGGTAAGGACAAGAAGCTAAAAAAAGGGCTTAGGAATGAGAATGGGCTTCGGGTCAGAAGATGGCTGTATGTCCTCCAACCGAGCTCAGGAACCCGACAACTGAGAGAAAGCCTGTGTCAGCTGAGCAGCATTGATGCGACGATTCGTGTAGCCCTTCTTGAAGCGCATGCAATCCGTTTTGTGGAAGTATGTTGAGTCAAAGAGAACGGCGCGGTTCTCGATGTATGGGATGGTCACATTCCAGTAATTGTTTGCCTGTAGAATCTCATCGATCTGGGGGTTCTGCACAATGCTGTTGTAGTCGCTGTAATTCCAGTCCGCCGGCGGACCGACACCGTAAAGCACCAGACCTCCAGCGGGCAGCGAGTCCTCCTCTGACCAAAGATTGGCCGAGGAGGGGCTGACAAAGAAGTTAATCTGCACTTGGCAGTCGTCTGCATGAGTGTCTATGCCTCCAAGGGAGCCATCATACATGTATGCCCAAGCCTCGGATGTGGGAAGACATGTCCAAAAGGCCATCTGCGCAGACCATCAGCCATCAGATCACCATACATCATCGATCATCGAAAGGGCCTCGCTCACATGCTTGCTGCTGCATATGCCCAGCAGCATTGTGCAACTCTTTGTCGCTGAGAATGGGCAGCTGCTGCCTACGACGCGGACGAACCAAACCTTGCCCGAAACCCTGTGAACCCTACACGTAGTTGGTGTCGTGGCGGCTGGCGTGTCTTGACGTTCTTCTATGTTCTTCTTTGCTCCCCAAAGGCTTGGATTCAGGAGTTCGGGTGTATGGTCTGGATTGTCGTGTTGTTCATTCAGTTTCTTCAGAGGTGTGCCTATTGTTTGGTGGTCTAGCTGCCTAGCTCGTTTCGATTCCCATACAGCAAGATCCCGCACACCCCGAGCCACTCGAGCAGGGGGCCTCAGCTCCTCGTCGATTTGGCTGACTAAGTCCGACGCGAAGCCCGTGTCGAGGTAGGTGCCTCTGTCATTGGGGACACAAGGTTCAACCCTCCGAGCCCATTCACCGCATCTGACAGAAGAATGCGTAGATGATGAGCAACACAAGGGTAGGAAGCAGGTCTATCTGCAACTACAATGCACCCTGATCTGCCCAATCTGCTCCAAACCACGATGAGACAGCAAGAACTTAGAGAATGCCGTCCACGGCGCCCACATGACCAAACTTGACCTGTGACCAAATCGTGGATTCCAGCAGATAGTCCTGCAGCGCCTTCAACGCCTTAGCTGTACCAGCAAAATTGTTGTTGAATCACAAGGACTAATCTGAACATCACCTAGGCTTCGGCTGGATACAAGGAATGATGCTAATGATACGTGTAGGTTCCCGACGAGAAAATGGCTTTCACACTCAACGGCCTTTTTGGTGTCTTCCACTTGCAGACAGCTCACATCGGGCGTAAAGAAGTCATCCACCACACATACCCGGTGCTCTTTGTGCAGAAGCTCCTTGTTGACACGAATGCTGACAGATAGCAGGTCTACCTCATGTAACACAGATCAGGAGGCCATGAGTACTCTGCGCGGTCACTGCGCAAGAGCCCAGTCCTCATGAACTGACCTGGGATGTGCGAATGAATAATGTGGGGGGTTCCGACCATACTGGGTCAGAGTCGCAATCGTAAGGGGATCCTGTTATAAACTCCCATGTAGTATCTCCGGTGTGGAAGTTGGGGCCTAACTGTTCAGCCCGAGCTGTTGCAGTCCTTGCGCAGAATTGAACGGGAACAGACCTTATCGAAAACTTAAACCCCTCAACCCCCGAACCAGAAGCCGCGTGGTCCTGAAACTCTCATTCCCCACCCCAGATCATCCTCAGCCCGAGTTATTCTTGCGACCACGCAGCGCCAGATCTGCTGCCACAGCGGCACCGGGGATGCGCTGGCCCGGGTGCCTGGCAAGAGGTGCCATGATCAGGGGTGGGGGGCCTCCCTGTCAGAGCATCGTCTACTTCGACCGAAAGGCAGGGCCTGAAGCCATACTTGATGGGCTCATGGGTAGATTGTAGATTGGAAGTAGGGGGTTGAACAGTTGAAGCCGGAGGAGCAACTGTGGTCAATATCACTGCCCATGACATCATGAACCTTCCAGCACATTTCCCAGCCCACTGCAAACCCAGTCAAGCCCCAGCCCGAAGGCAGGACCACACAAGAATACACAAGAATATGGCAAGAGTATGCCCAAAAAAACGCCGGATCACTCCAACCCTAAGCTCCCTCAAGATTGATGGCCAGCTGCAGGTGAAGCGCGCGGCCCTGCAACGCGAAATAGAGCCCGAACCTGGGATCTCAAGGGATCGATGCCGGGAGGTTGTTGACCAGCGTGGACCTCTTGGTCTCAGGCTTACGCGGGCGCATATGACGTGCTCAGAGGTTGCGTCATAAGATGTCATAGTACCGAGGTTATGCGGGAAAGGCAAGCAGCTGCGGCTGTGGAGGTGTGACGATGAAGGCATCCTTCCCACCAGCAGCCACCAAGACATGCAGGAGCAGCCGCCTGTACTCTGGCAGAGCCTGCTCCTCTACAAACCGCTGCCGGTCTGGAGCAAGGACCTGACAGAGGCAACTGGGAAGGGCTACCAAGAGCGCAAGCAGTCGTAATACTAAAAACGCATAACCTGTGCGGACCCCCGGCATCCAAGCATATCCAAGCCTAAACCCTTCTGAAGAGTTCTGAGATGCCTGTCTGGACACCAGGTACTCCAGCTGCCTGGGAGGAACATGGAGGAACCAGGGGCAAGGCAAAGTTAAGGCAAAGCAAAGGTCGCGGGGCTTTGCGTGTCCTAGTGAGAAAAAACCTCCTGTCTTCTTGCATCCAACTGCTCGATGTCCCGGCGCAACGAGTGGGGCACAATGGTGAAGACGCGCCTTTCTTGGAGGCATGGGCTCTTCATTTTCGAAGGCTTACTAAGTGTTACTATCTACGATGACCAGGATCACCGAAGGAGACTGAGTCTGCCATTGGTTGGGCAGACGAGGGCTATGAGATTCAACCAGAAACAGAACTATCCCAGGCGCTCGATGTCGGTCCATGGTGCCAGTACACCTGGCTTCGGCAGCGTCTGCATCGACTTGGTCTCCAAATACCGCTTGCGCAGCGTCTGCAAGCCCACTGGGCCTTGTCAGGGCTGCAAATGCCAGCATGCTGGATGATACAGCAGACCCCTTCAAAAACCTGAAAACCTGAAACCCCCGGCCCAAAGATTCTTGAAATGCCCCCAAGCCCTCGTCAAACACTCAGAATCCTGAGGCAAATCCCAAAGCCAACCCCCAAGCCCTAAACCCCCAAAAAACCTAACCCTAAAGCCTAAACCCTGAACTCAAGACGCCTAAACCCCCCCCCCCCCCCGCGCTGACCGGCGTCCTGCGAGTGCCCGGGAGAAGCCGGCTGCAGTGCCCGCCAAGGCTAGCACTGCGAGGCTCCTGGCAAAGGAGCTCGCAGCTGATGGGGTTTAGGGTTTAGGGTTTTGGGTTGTGGGTTTAGGGTTTTAGGGTTTTAGGGTTTTAGGGTTTTAGGGTTTTAGGGTTTTAGGGTTTTAGGGTTTTAGGGTTTTAGGGTTTTAGGGTCTTAGGGTCTTAGGGTTTTAGGGTCTTAGGGTTTTAGGGTCTTAGGGTCTTAGGGTTTCAGGGTTTTAGGGCTTTAGGGTTTTAAGGTCTTAGGGGTTTTAGGGTTTTAGGGTTTTAGGGTTTTAGTGTTTTAGGGTTTTAGGGTTTTAGGGTTTTAGGGTTTTAGGGTTTTAGGGTTTTAGGGTTTTAGGGTTTTAGGGTTTTAGGGTTTTAGGGTTTTAGGGTTTTAGGGTTTTAGGGTTTTAGGGTTGTAGGGTTTTAGGGTTTTAGGGGTAAGCTTCTTGACCAAGGGCTTTGGAGTTTCAGCGGCGTATTGTGGGGATGGGGATGCAGATTTGCTTGGGGCGGCCGTCAGGATCCCCTGCGTGGCCCCCTAGCACGACTCCCACTGAAGGGCCGGGTCTCCAAAACCACAAATCGATTTAGGGTTTCGGGTTCAGGGTTTAGGGTTTAGGGTTTGGGGTTTCCTATCTTTGTTTGGCAACCAAATCATCCATTGGAACCCTTGGCCGTGTGAACCCTCTGGGCTTTGCGTCTCGCGCGTGCTCTTCACATTGGTTGCTTTTGCTTGGGGCCAGGCCTGCGAAAGACACCAAAATTTCAACAATATCACTATCTTATTATGATTATTATTAAAATTAAAATTAAAATAATTAGAACTAGGAAGATTGTAAGTATTCATAATATTGCTGTTATACTGTTACGTACCATTATTCTTATTTTGCACGGTTTTTGTTGTTCGCTCCTTCGCTTCGTCTGCGCTTTGACGGCTCGGGGCTTCGCTTGGGCCATGGCTGTGCAACACGGAACTCTCTAAGCCTCGTGCCTCCAGCGACTACGTCGTTTAGGGGGTTGGCACCCGGGAAGTTCTGCAGGCAAAGCATTGTCTGGTAAGGCGTTGCGTTTTGCGTGTTGTGGATGCAAGTAATCCGGCTCCACGGCGTATGACTTCATGTCAAGGACGTAGTGCCACCCCCTCCCGCCCCCCCCCTTAAGTTCAAAGCAGAGCTCAGGACTTTGAGGTGCGGAGCTCTTGAGCTCTTGAGCCAACGTTGCAACGCGTGACCTCACCGACAAAGTGCCCTAAATATCCCAAATACCCTTATACCCAAGCACCCCGAATGCCCTTCATGCTCTTAACACCCTCAATACCCCGAGTAAACCCTAAAGCCAGAACTAAAGTCTGCGCTGTACAAGCTTCACCCATAAGCTTTAAGGCATCAGATCCTTCGTCTGCTTAAGGGCAGTGCTGGGGCGTTTGATTGTGTTTCGTGAACCCTGAACCATGAAACCCTGAAACCCTAATTCTCTAAATCCCTGAAACCCTAAACCCTAATTCTCTAAATCCCTGAACCATGAAACCCTGAAACCCTAATTCTCTAAGTCCCTGAAACCCTAAACCCTAAAAACCCTAAACCCCAATTTCCAATCTTTTCTGGGACTCCGGGCGCAGCCAGGGCCCCTCCACTGTGGCCAGCGGCCCGGCGCAGGCCTCGGGGACGGCCTCAAGATAAGCTGTGCATGATATCGTGTATCAGTATATATGTATGTATATATGTATGTATGTATGTATATGAGTGTGTGTATATATATATATATATAGTTCTTTATCTGCGTTTATTGATTACATGTTGTCTTCCTTCTTATCATATACATATATATGTATATGTATGTCATACTGCTTTGGAGTTGGAACTGAGGGTGGAGGAGGCCATTCGCGGGGCTTGCGAGGGTGCCGAAGCGAACTTTGAACAAAGCCCCGAGACCCTAGAGCCGAAAGCCCCAACCCCACCCCCAGCCCAACACATCTAGAACTCCCACAACCCCCCCCAACCCCCCCCCCCCCCCCCCCCCCCCAAAAAAAAAAAAAAAAAAAAAAACACCCTAAGCCCTAAACACCCGAAAGCCCCTCATCCACACACTTCAGCTTGGCCCCAGCAGTGCCAGCTGCGCAGATCGAGCTGATACTGGCACCTTCTGGCTTTCTGGCTTCAGGGTAAAGGGGGTGTCGTATATAATGTAATGTTGTAATTATCTTAGAACTATTTTAATTTTATAGATTATAGAGTTTCTAACGGTCGGGTGGTGAATTCACGACGCTTCGGGTGAGAGCTGTGTGAGCATCTCTCCAAGGATTCGATGCGTCAGAGAGATGGGGGCCGGCGGGAACTCTCGACCCAACTCCCTCCTAAAGCCAGGGACATTGGAGCTTTCGGGTTGATTGGGGGGTTGAGGGTGGCGCGCGCGGAGCTCCGACTCGAAGTGTTGTTCTACTGCAATTTGGGACCTCGCCAGAACATTCAGCAGTAGACACTCTTAGAACACACAGGCGCGGCGGAAGAAGGCCCCGCGCACAGGAACTTAAGAGCAACAAAAAAAGTCCACCTCCGATGCCCACAACACCAGCAAAGGCTGTCCGTGAGAGCGCCGGGCCTTGATGGCGGGCGACTCCTGGCTCTCCCCTCTCTCTCTCTCTCTCTCTCTCTCTCAAGTAGTGCTACCTTGAAACTGGACAAGCTAAGGAGGCCTAACAAACCTAGAACTAAGTCTCTCACATGGGCACTTGAAATACAAATCTTACGATCTACCCCTCCTGCTCCTCCTGCTCCCGGCAGAAGCCGTGTGGGGCCAGGCCTGTGGCAGGTTGACTGAGGGTGAATGGTCTATGAGGGGAAGCCGCACCCATCTGCCCATCCGCCCAAACCCGCACTGGACCTTTTTGGGGTCGAGGCTTTAGGGACGCGTGCGCCTGCCAACTGAATGGCACCATCCACGACACCGGGATGCAGCCAGAAGTGGTGGTGAAAGTCATCCTCCTGGACTCCCAAACTGCAAGGTCATCCCTAAACATCCCAAAAATCCCCCTGGGAGGAATGGGGGTGTGGGGGGGGGCGGGGGGCGGGGCGTCCTCTGCGCGAAGAACAGCCGCCACGTGCCCGGCGCCTCGCTGCAGCCGCCGCACTGTGCGGAACGCAGGGCCGAGGGTGTAGCCCGCGGCGTGGGCCTGCGCCTGTAGGAAGGTCGTAGAAGGTTTTGAGTCTATGAGTTTCAAGGTTGAAGGTTTTTGGCGGTAGTGATGTCGGTGGCGGAGCCTGGGGGATTTAGTGTAGAGGCTTCCTCAACAAACCGACTCATCATGTCTACAAACTCCGGGCACGCGGTCTGTCTTCTCATTAAACTCAGCCCGGCGCATAAAACTGGTTGGTATCCAGGGGCTCCAGCTCTGAAGCTTCAGAACTTCCCTCGCGGCGAAGAGAGCTTAAAGCTTAAGGCCAAACAGGGCAGTCGCACACCAGAACACCTCCACAAGGGTTCAAACGAAACTGAGCCCTCTAAAGCCCTGACCCTACCTCTAAAACCTAAACCCTAAACCCCCTGAGCCCAACAACCGACTGGTCTGGGCCTTCTGCCACTGCTTCCTGCCCATGGCACCGGGCTTAAGCTTGGGCTTTGGGTTTGCTTTAGGCTTAGGGTCAGGGTTCTAAGGTTTCGGGGTTTCAGGGTCTTGGGGTTTAGGATGGTTTTAAGAGTCCTTGGTGGTAGGCTTGAAGGTTGCCGGGCTTTGGTCTCTCTGATCACCTCGTACTCCAAAGCCTTGAGGGTTTGGAACTTTAAGCCCTAGCACGCGAGGATCATCCACAACAGGTCTGATGCCTACTGTAGGACTCAAAGATGTCAGGATCAAACAGCAGGACCTGCTTACTCAAGCCATCTAAAGCCTCATTGTGCTCATATGGAAGCTGTATGGAAGTGAACCCTACAACTCAAAACCGAAGCTGCTTTCTGTGCAAGGACTCTGAAGCGTCTCAGCTTCAGGGAATAAGGTACACCGCCCGCCCACGGCGCACACCGGGATCGGAGCTTTAGCAAAAGCAAATCAAGAGCCATAGTTTAAAGCGCCTGTAGGCCTTCCAAACATTACCAGCACAATCGTCTTGTCTGGTAGTTGGCTTCAGTCTCCTGAGAAATCCTTGATCTTTCAATCCCAGCATACGCCGGCGCAGATGCAACTGACTCTAGTGGACTGATCCATAAGGTTTCGAAGCTCGGTGCTCAGAACAAGCACGGGCTTCAGGTTTTGCATTTATGGTTCTTCGAGACGTTCCACCCTGCCTGGCATCGGATACATCTGCCCACTGGCGACACGGCGCATGCACTGCCTGTCTGATGCGAGGAGCTTAGGGGTTTCGAATCGGTGAACCCTAAACTTCTAAACCCTAAACGCTAAAGTTTAGAGCCTAGATTTTGTGCCCTAAGCCGCTCCGAGCCCCTGAACCCTGAAGAGCTCCAGGCAAGGGCTCAAAACCCTCCGCGGCAACGAGCGTTCACCCTTCGGGCCCTGTGTCGCCTGGGCCCAGGCCTCGCAGTGGCGGAGCACCCGCGGCTCCTGGCATGTTCTGGGGGGTTTGGGGAAGTTTGGGGAAGTTTGGGCTTAGGGCGTTTCGGCCCTGTGTTCCAGGGGGCCGCTGCACACACGGTCCGGACACTGCAGGTCGACAAAATCCTGAAGCCGCCGAATTCCACCTGAGATCCCATCACGGAGCTCCAGCTGTCGGAACCAGTTGCCTGCGCTCCGCGTCTTAATAGGGTCTATATGGTTGTCCCAGCGGCAAACGACAGAATTGGCTCACTGGGGCTGTGACAGAACTTAGAGGCAGAATACCGAACATGTCTGCACTGCACCATTTCTGGCACTCCACACTTCGGACTTGAGCCAGACGTGAGGGAGTTTGGCAAGACCACGGTTGCTTTGCACCAGGGCCCACAGCTCCCCCCCTCCCAGTGTTTGGGAGAGAGCGCTGGCTGTGAGTGGAGTCTTGTGGTTCAAAGCGTCTCTACTTCGGAACCTTCACCTTGAACCCCAAAAAACCCAAAAATGTCTTGCGGTTCAGGGTTTAGGGTTTTCGGGGGAGGCGTTTTCTGCTTTGCAGGTTCCGGTGGCCCGGCAGACAGGACGGTGGCGCCCGAACAGGACTGGTTAGGGGGGCTCAGGGTTTAGGGTCGCTAAGACCTGTTGAAGTCTCTCAGCTGCGTGTATCATCTTCGCACCAGACTTACCATTACAGCTCTCTAGGTCTTATCTGCGTTTCGGACACGCGCCCCTCCTGATCCAGATGCTTTCTCGTGGGTTAGTGCAATTCTGCTCTGAGGTGCCGCACTGCCCAGTTCTGAGCAACAGCGAACAGACCTCTTTTGCATCCTGGTATTGGGGAATGTACAAAGGCGCTCGAGATCAGGCACGCTGGAATTGATTCAAGAGGAGCTCTCGACTGTAAGCTGTGAATCACCCCTGGAGGGTTTGGGATAAGAAATACATGTATACTGAAGCTCCTCGGTCCATGCAGTACCCCATCAAAAGCCCTGCCAAACCACGCTAGGGTTCTCATGGGTTTGAAGTTTAAAGGCTTGGGGTTCAGGACTTAGGGTTTTAGGGGTTGAAGGGATGTCTAACGTGTTCGCGCGAACTCCAGGCACACACGTCGAGGCCCGTTTATGCATCAGGCGCCGGCTTGGAAGCTGGCTCATCACCTTAGGCCAGGTTTTCCTGGTGGCCCAACTTGGACCAGTGCTAAGCATGAAGCATGGGCGGAGGCTTTGGGTCAACAACATTCCCATTGTTTTCGGGATCACTTTACAGACATCATCTCATAATATACTCAATATATTCATAGATTCAGAAGCTCATAGATTCATAGATTCATAGATTCATAGACTCATAGATTCATAGACTCATAGATTCATAGATTCATAGATTCATAGACTCAGAGGTTCATAGACTCATAGATTCATAGATTCATAGATTCATAGATTCATAGATTCATAGATTCATAGATTCATAGATTCATAGATTCATAGATTCATAGTTTCATAGATTCATATACTTATATATTCATATACTCATACACTCATATATTCAACCATATACTACTGAAATAATCTTGTCATACAATCACACATTAATCTAATACTATAGCATCTTAATGATATGGGGGTGTGCGAAAATAGGGGACCCAAAAAATGGACCCCCAAATAGTAGGATCCCCTGATAATAAGGACTCCAATGAGGCACCCTAACATCGTAAAACCCCCTGTTAATGATACTCAAAGCCTTGAGAGGCCTGACGAGGCACCGCCAGGTGTGGGACCAGCCTCATCCCAGAGGCGGCCATTGGTTTGGGCGTGCTTCACCTCCAGGGGGGACTTGGGTTGAGGGCTTTAAGGCTCGGGGTTTAGGGTTTAGGGTTGAGGGCTTTAGGGTTTAGGGTTTAGACCATTTTGGAAGTTTTCGGGGCGGGCTTGGAAGGTTTCCAATAACTGCAAGATGCCATGGAGACCATCATCTGCAGCGGGCTGGAGAAGCGGGCTTTCATCTTCTCGTTTCCGTGCAGCCTTGGCAGGGTGACAGTCGTCACTTGGGATCGATAACTCCCCGCTGGAAAGTGCCCCCCTCCATTTGGGGAAATACCCGTATGAAGCTCCACCAGTTTCGTCAGCAAGCGATTCGCAACGGGCCCTCGAGAGTGCCGCTCAGGGGCGTGTCGATCAACATGGATAACTCCATTGGGCCTGACAAGAAGTGCTTCGGCTCTGCCTCCTGATAGGCAGGGGCAGGAGACACAACAGCTTAGGGCAGCTGATGGAGTAACAATCTCCCCGAACCTCAACACCCCAAGTCCGTGCCAAGCCCTAGCTAGTATTCAAGTGTCCCTACACTCCAAATCTGACTGCCACGTAGCGCGAGCCCAAAAGCCCTGCCCCAAGGGACAAAAATGCTAAAAGGCCAGTCCAGGTCCTTCGGGGTGCGCCGATCGCCTTTCTCAGGATCCTGCAGGCTCTTTGAACTACCCCAAGCCCCCCGGCAAAACCTGAAAGTCCCCAAAACCCCTGAGCCCCTGCACCTCGAAGCTCCACTATGTCCGAAACCTCTCAACGCAGAATCCTTGTGTTGGGACAGTTGGGGGCTAAGGTGCCCAGGTCTTGCTTCTGCTCAGGGTCTCGCTGTTCTGGCCGTTCGGTCTTCTGCCTATTTTTACTTACTTAATGCATATATATATATATACACAAATTTTTCCTACTAATATTAATGTATTGGTATATTCCTACGAATGTATTCCTACTAATATTAAATTGGGATCTAGAAAAGCTGCTGAGCGGCTGCAGCTTCTAGATGCAGCTTGGCCAGAGCTTCGCTTGTTCTCGGCTCGCAACGTTTCATAGCACCCACTACTACGTCACCACTTCGTCACTACTCCCGAGAAGAATGACGAAGTGCGTACATGAACTTTGGATGTCGCCAACAAAAATGCCCATGCAACATGTAGGGCTTAGAGTTTTTGAGGGCAAGCTCTCCTGGTACATCTTTCCAGCAGAGACCGCTTTGCGGATGCCGAGGTGCCGGAAGATCTGCTCCGTGGTCGTTCTGCATGCGGCGTTTCTCGAAGCAAACCCCGCAAACCCCAAACCCAAAGGCGCTCTCAAAGCTCTCACATCCCGCTCGTGTGGAGCCATTTGTGAAACCCAGGCATAGAACGATTCGCGGAGAGCTTAGATTTAAGAAGGCTCCGGCAGGTTTAAAGAAGGCTCAAGTTTTGAGGATTAGGGCCTTCAGCATGCACCAGGCGTCACAAGCCAAGCTTCATGAGAGTCCTAAAGTCGAAGGCACACGGTCTTGGGCCCATGCTCGAAGAAAGTGGGGTACGACTCACAAAGTGCAAGATTCGCAGCAGAGGTCTAGCATCTTCCGGGTACAGAGCGAATGTTGAGGCAATCTGGCTGAACAGCTGCCCAAAAAAAAATACGAGACTGGACACTGGAGGCTTGCACCTCGTTCCGAGTCCCTGACGACCACACTTCGGTAAGACGAAACTCTGGAACTCCATTGAAGATGAACACAAGCGCCCAGCTCAACCCCTGCACCTCCCCAAGTTGTCCATAAACCCTTCTTTTCTCCTGCCTGAGAAGCATTGGCCAGATCGCCTGATCTCAGCTGACAAAAGCCCCGAGGCTCCACGGGAACGGGCGTTAAACGTCTTAAGGTTCAGGAAGTTGTAGATCAAAGCTCGAGGTCGAAGAGTTCCGGAGCCTTTGGTTGAGGCTTTGAAAATCGGAGAGCAGGCGCCGAGGTAGCAAGAGGCAGCCAGAGGCTGCAAGAGGTAGCAACAGCAAAGTCTCACAACCCGCTGGCCTGCACTTCTTCTGAAGTCAAGCATATCTGGTCAGGAACCCCGATGAGCCCACCATTGTAGGCCATGAGCATCAAGTCCTTGACGGACACAGACGCATCAGTCATGGTCAGAAAGAGATCGCAACAACTGGATCCTTGATGTGGAACGGATGGTTGATCAAGTCTGTCGTGGACTTGTCGCTGGACTTGTCTGCAAGTTCCTTCTCCTTCTTGCTGGCCTGGGCATGCTCAGCAGACCTCCAGAAGTCGCCCTTTCTTTCATGCGAGAGCACAAACAGGTTGCTACTCGTACTGCAACATGTGCAAGTGTCTAATTAGGGTCCCCTTCTGGCGTCCTTTTGTTATGAGGGCGCCGTCCTATACATAGGACCCAAAAAAAGGAAACCTAAAGCCTCATAATTGATAGACGCCAACTGCTGCCCAGCGGCGAGCGCGGCCAGGCGTGCCTTGCTGTAGACCACAGTGGTCAGCCTGAGAGGTACCCTACTAACACGAGGCTTGTGTGTGGAACTGCCGAGGACGCCAAGGTTTAGGACGTAGAGCTTAAGGCAGGGGTTTCGAGGTGCAGGATGGCGTTGTCCGGTCGGGGTTACAAGTTCAGGGTCAACGGGAAAGGCCCCAGTCCCTAAACCAACAGAGCAATAGACCTGTCAACCTGCACATCCCAGCCCTAGCTGAAACACCTAAAGCCTGAACCCTGAACCCTGAAACCTTCATGAAATCAAACCACACAGGCAAGGGCAGCCAAGCCACAGCAGGTCTAAGAGGGGCACGCAGGGCAGAAAGAGTCCGAACTCGGCCCAGTACCTGAGTTTAAGGCTTCGGGGATTGCTGAAACCGAGCCAGGTTTTGGGGCTTGGCCAGGGTTAGGATTTAGGCATGTCGAGTTCAGGGGGGGGGCAAGCATGCTGGGAATACGACCTACCCAATGCATTACTCAGCATGCTCCAGTCTACCTCTGCACGAGCTACGCTCATGTGATCCCCCCAAACCTCCCCAATTTCCCCACAACCCTCAAACCGAGAAGCCAATGCTCAAGGACCAGGTCATGGTCTATGCGCATGAGGTTGGCAATCAAGGCCACCTCAGGTTGCCCACACGTCAAAAAACGCCCGGGTATGGCAAAAGCTCCGATAGGGGCTTGGGAGTTGACTGAGGGTTCATCCTTCAGATTCCTTCAGCGCCAAACAGGGCTCAAGGCTTGAGGAACCTGACTGCTCGTCGCCTTCAATTTCAGATCATGCTTGTGGATGTGATCGAGATGAGTTGCTGAAGGTTGCCAGGGCGGCTTGAAGTCTTCAGCACTGGACTCTAGACTTTCAAGCTTCGGACAGAGGCGCCAGATTCTTGAAATGCCGCCCTTTCAAGGTTTCGTGGACGGGCCCGAAGTAGTCGCTCTTCCTCGCCTCGTCCTGGAGATCGGAACGCAGCTTGCGCGGCTTCTCAGGCTCAGGGTCCAGGGCTCGGTGCGGATAGATGCGGGTACTCTCCACACAGGGAACATAACCCCAACATCATCATAATCCTGATGTTGGGAACCCCTAAAAAGGGTGCAAACTCATTTTGGGAAACCTCCAGTTCGGTTGAGGGCCTCAAGGGCTACGCGTGGCCACCAGCCCGATAGGGGGTTGGAATCCTCAAGATGCAGGGGTGCTGACCGAGAAATGTCGGGACAAATTCGCAACTCAAAACCCAATAACCTAAAAACTTAGAAACCCAAAACCTAAAACGCACATCCTCAATCTCAGCCAGTCCCGGTCTTAAGATCAGAGGCCAACTTAAGGATCTGAGCCACAAGGCATTTCGTCAGTGCATTTTCTGAGTTGGCCCCCTGCTTCGTGATTACAATCCTCCGGTCATTGTCTCAGACCTTGGGCCCTTCAATCCGAAAGCTTAGAGAGCCCTCAAAGGGGGTTTTAGTAGAGGCTTCCGAGTTGAAGTGTCCTTGATGTTCGCAATCTGCTTCCTTGCCTCAGCCTCCATAAGGTCAGTCTGCCGGCTTTGAATCACCAAAGCGAGGTGGCTGACCTCTTCGGGGGAGAGGTCCTGCAGCCAAGAAAGCAGCGAACATCTTTAAGACTTTAAGACTCTTCCCAAGTCGAACCTCGGCGGCCGAATCCCAACAACCTACAAGTAGGAGCTTGAAACCTCAAAAGCTCGATGCCCAAAGGGCGAGCGCAACCCTCAAAAAGCGACATCCCCCTTCGTGCAAAGGGTCTGGAGGCTTGGCGTCCCCCCCTCCCCAACAACCCTGGACAACAGGTACAAAAAGTCCTCGGGCTCTTTGTCGGGCTGTGACATCAGGGCCAGGTCCACGTTAAGTCCTGTCCTCCACAGGTTGGTTCTTGCTGCGGACTGCTCATGCGGCTGCTTCGACTCTCAGTACAGCTTCTCCATGGCACGTGTCATGGGTTTGATGGGTTTCTGGCTTGGGGATTCAGAGTCAGAGTCGAAGTTTCGATGGGGCCTAAGTGTATGGGAGTGCTCGAGGAGCTTGAGATTGTGCGGTTCTAATCAGGCTCCACCATTCGGGCTTGTGACATGGGCGGTTGTTTTCACGGCTGAAGGTCTGGGACGCTTGAACTAGAAGTTCAGGGGGTCCGGGGTTTAAAGTTTAGGTTGTCCCTGGAGGTTAGGCCGCTTAGGGTCTTGGAGCATGGAGTTCTTGCGCACTTCAAAGACTTTTCACGGTGGAATTCCACAGGGGGGGAGAACCATCATCACAGCGATAAATTGCAGACGTTCCCTCAGTCGGAGAGCCTTTTGCAGAACTTGAACCCAGAGACAATGTCCACGATATCCACACGTCTCCGGATGGTCCTCCACAACTCATTCCGGACGCTCCGAGCCCCTCCAAGCTTTGTCCCAGTTTCAATCAGCATTGAATGAATGCTAAGTTAACTTCTGAAACCGAACTTGTACGCCTAGCTCAACCTTAGATCCCTGCGTGGCCTGCCTGGCAGCATGTGTCCCAAGCTCTCTCGAAACTTCTGTGTCCAAGACATTTAGGAAGCGTCATCGCTGGCCTTTGGTATTCCCTTCAATATGCACAACATGGGAGTACACACATGTACTTAGATATGCATTGATCTATTGAGCCCTGAGCCAAACTCCCACAGAAGAATTCGAACTCCCCTCCCCCGCCCAAGTGGCTCCCGTGGCGCAGGGCCAAGCCATCCCAGAGCTCCCCCACAGTCATGGGCTTCGCCTCGGGGGCTTTCGGGTGTTAGGGATGGCGCCCAAGCGCTTTTGAGTGTGAAACTAGGCCCTTTGCCCCAAAGCGCTCCCAAACCTCACCTTTTGTTGCACCTGGCATAGTGAAGCGTCCCGGTCTGCATTCCTTCATGCATTTTATGCATGGCCTTGGGCAGGTCCGACCTTGAAGCCTCCTCCAGCTGTCGAGCGGACCTAATGCCGTGGGCCCGGCAGCCTTCCATTGTGCCCTAAGCCCTGCAGCGCGCCCACTGCGGCAACAAAATGGGCCAGGCTTGCACATGCAGGCGAAGCCGATGAATAAGGTGGGGGACACCGCAGTCTTATTGGTTGTGAATGTTGTAACATGTTGCAATGCTCTAACATGCTGCAACATGCTGCAACAGCCGGGTTCCACCGCTTGCCACTTGTTTATCCAAGTGCCACTGGTGAGATGGGCACGAAACTCAGGCTTACGATCTCGAGTGGCGAGCGAGTCTAGCGAGGGAGCCTCTCAAGGTCGGTCGTGGAGTTTCGGCTGTCATGTTCGTCCCTACACCGCTCGACACATCTCGACAGCCCTCACTACTCCCGAAAGGCAGACAAGACCCACACCCCTAAACGCCGGAACCCTGAAGCCTTTCCAGAGGGTGTCACCAATAACAGGAATCTTGCCATCCCTACATCACTGAAACAGAAATAACAGGTGCAAGTTCAATAAAAACAGATGCGTCGAAGCCCAGTGGCCAGGCCGATCTCGCTCCTACGTGAGGCGCGCTTCACAGCCACCTTCCGGCGAGCAGCGCGGCCTCCAAAAGAGCCACCACTTGGAAGCCCCTTTTGTGCTTATAGGGTTTGTCAGGCGGGGGTTCTTGGGATTTTTATAGGGTTTCTGGGGGGTACGAAGTGTTGCTAAGGCAACATCGGGGTTTGGGGCTGTCAGAGACGAGTTGCTAGATCAGAAGGTGACGACATTCCTACACTTTGCAGAGAGGCGGCCTCGAGCCAGCGCCTGGATCCTCATGGCAGCGCGATCCTCCAGACAGATATGCCGGGAAGCGGGAGGAGAGGGATGAAGTGGAAGGCTCAAGGCTGAAGGGCTCCACGATTTTCTGGGCTCAAGGGCTTAAGGGCTCGCTGATCCTAAGCCTGCTGCCGGGTCAGAAGCAGAAGAAAAGGCTCGGACCTCATCTGACATTGCGCTGGCGGCATTCGCCGGAACGGTGCCTGGGTCTCGGGGATTAGGGCTCGGGAGCCTGCAGGCGATCAGGGATCTAACATGGATCCTGCAATCGGCATCCTTTGCAACACAAACCGAAATTTTGTTTCGGAAGCAGCAGCCGGATCCACGCGGAGTGCAAGGTCCGATGCTTTTGTGCCCTTCTCCGGAGCCGGATGCCGCAGCCATCCACTGCCGAACCGCGCTAACGAAGCGCTATACATACACGCGGCATATTATTTATAAGAGCACTAAGCGAGATATGCGGATTGCACAAGGATTGTATATCCCCACCCCACCCCAAGTGAAGGGAGGGAAAGATGAGAGGGCGGAATGCCCAATGCAGACCGATACAAAACCTGAACCCTGAACCCTAAACCCTACCTCACAAAGAAGCCGGATCCGGACGGGTGGCCGAAAAGGCCCAGAGGGGCTACCGCCCAGGCTGCAAATTCCTTGCATGGCCAGGGTGAGGATTTAGTATTGAGAGTGCAACGGTGTCCTACTTCCCCAACCCCCGAATTAAACTCCAAACCCGCGCTACAGCTCTTAATAACACCTGCAGACCCAAACAAACATTTTGGCTTCGGGCTGCAGGGTCTAAAGCCCGCCAAGCTTCGGGATTCAAGTTCAATACGGGCGCTTGCAGATTCAGATTTACTTGAACATAAACATATGTTCTTTGTATTGTAGACATCTTTACATGATATACTATTCGTACATTGCCTTACAATTTAGAACCAAACACTGCAAACAAACAGTTCATATGGGTTCATATGCTTAACAGAATGAAGATGTCTGTTTGCCCATCTTTCTTCGATGCATATCCCTCACGAACCTTCAATAATCAATGGTCAACGGCAACTCTTGACGTGGAAGCCGTTCATCGGATTGAACTGCTCTCTTTTTCTTGTGGGTTTGTGTTAACAACATCTTACGAAGCGCACGAATGAGGGGGGGGGAGCTTTTCTGCAACCCTAAACCCTAAGCCCTAAACCCTAAACCCAAACAAGGCACCCCATCAACAGGGCCCCAACTGCCCAACGGGATCCTGAGCCTCCCCTGCCAAGAAGAGACAGCATGATGGGACGGTAGGCTGACTCTTTTTCCGAGTTGAAACGAGGGCCCCAAAAGTACCATACTATGCTATACTATGATGGTTGTTCTTGTTGCTACTGGTATAATTGCAAACTACTTCGAGTATCAGGCGCAAGTGAGAGGTGTTGCCATGTCGAGAACCCATGCCAAGCCACGTCCATGTTCATCACGCCATCCTCCCGAGGGGCAGCGTAACATCAAAAGAACTCAACGCTGGAAACAATGGAAACAAGCCCATTGGGCAGAAGTTTTCGCACAATCCGCCAGCACTGAGTTCTCGGGCCGGCTTGAGGTTCTGTTCACTTTCGGGTTAAACGCTGTAGATTGCGGAGTTTAAGGGCTTAGGGGCTTTGGTCTTCGGAGCTCACGGTTCAAACTGGGCGTGGACCTCATTGATATCGAGCCACAGAGTCGCCGGGACGAGAAGCAAGTACAGGTATGAGTCTTACTCGCGCATCTGAAGCTAGGTTTAGGTTGAGGGCTTCGCATTCGCGGCTTCCAGCTTGGGCCGAGAAAAAAAAGAGAAAGAGCGAGAGAGAGCGACAGAGAGAGGGAGAGAGGGGGACAGAGAGGGAGAGAGAGGGAGATAGAAAAAAACAAAAAAACAACAAGCGCCAGGAGTCAGGGCACACCTCCCAAACATCTGCAACATCCTGTTGTTTCTGCTCCGCTGCTGTTTCGTGGTTGTCTCGCCTTGTCTCCCTAAACCCTAAACTCTAAACCTTAAAAACCGGTGAGCTTTCCCCCATGCTTCCGAGCCCACCCCCCTTCTTCCACAGCTCACGAAGCCTGAGTTCAGTATTCTGAAGCAGCGATGGGGTTTGGGGTTTAGGCTTGTAGGGTTTAGGGTATTCCAAGGAGGGCGCCCTGATTGTCAGACAAGCTCAGATGCCAGGTTGAGGGCCCCCTACGGGACCATGTCGAGCCGAGCTAGGGAAGGCCGTCGGCTCCTCAACCCCTAAAGCCTCTCTGTTTGGGGTTTAGGTCTTAGGGACTTTGCGACATGTTGCTTCAGGAACACGAGCTGATTTTTGTTCTTAGGTTTTTTACGGAGGAGCCCTTTCGCGGTCTGTTCTCACCCCGGACATATCGCCCTGGTTGTAAGTAAGGCTTGAAACTTAGGGCTTAAGCAGGTTGAGCCAGCGATCTGAGACCAACGCAATCAAGTGCCAAGCCGTAACTTATGCTGTGCCAGCGTCGGGTCGTGGGGTCGAATTAAGGGCTCTCCTCAAGTTGTCGTATTTCTAAGTCCTGCCTCAGGGTCTGCAGGGTTGTGTTTAGGGCCATTGCAAGTGCTGTTTAGCAGCCCCCCCCCCCCCCCGCCACGTCTTGTTCAGCTTTCGCAAGCCCCAAGGCCTACCTGACGCCTTTGAGAAGTTCTAGCAGGACAATAAACCGGCTAAGTCGAGGTTGTCAACCTAGACCTGCCGATGCCTTCCAAGACTTTCCGGGTGCTTTTCTTGGGGGGGGCGAGTATTTCAACCCCTGGGCCAATGGAAAAAAAACGCCGCGAAGAGGCGCGCCTTGCTCAGGTCGGCGTCTGAGAAGATGGAGTCTAGGTCGGCCGGGCTGAAGGAAGGGTCCAGTATCTGCAGCACGGCTTTGAGTTCGGCCTGGCAGGGTCCCACAGGGTCCCACAGAGATGGTTTCCTAGGGCGCCTGGGGAGCCTTAGGGAGCACCAGGGGTCTAATTGAAGGTTGGCTTCGGTTGCGACCTGCACAAAACCCGGCAGTCCGCTGATTGCTTAGGCTTGGTGAAAGGGTTCATGTGTGGGGTCTCATAGACATAGCCGCAGTCCTCGCTGATCTTCCCATCGCCGTTGAGATCGAACTTGTGAAAAGCAGCAGCGATGGCCTCTTGACAATGATGCGCATCGGCTTCGGCCATGGCCCTGCTAAAGGCTCGCCGTGCCAAGTTCAGCACGCATGGGGCCCAAGTGGGTGCTACACGAAGTGGTGCTGGACGATGAGATATGGGATGTCGCACTCCCGGATGGTTGGGGATGTCTGGATCTGCTGCAATGCTCATCTTCTGCCTACTTCCGTGGGATCTTCTTGCATCGTGTGCGGCTGATCTTCCGGCTTGAGACAGTGCCGGCTGTAATCAGGGAGCCTCTGACAAGGCCTCTGACACCTCATGCCAAGGCGTCAGTTCATGTAGACACAGAGACGCCGCAAGGAACAGTTGCAAAGCAGGAAGCACCTCTGGCCGAGGCCAAATGTGGCTGGACACTCCCAAGGAGCCGTCTCCATCAATCGAGAGCTCCATGGCCACCTACCAAGAAACAATCATAAACCCAAGACATGCAAGACTCAAGAACCCTTGGATCCGTAGCCTCGAAAGCAGGGCGCCCCTTCAAGCCCGAACCTAGAAACACGATCTCACATCGCGCCCATGCACCGAGCTCGTAGAATCACGGGCCCTCAAACCTCAACATTGACGAACAATCAGGATCTGACAGGTCTCTCACATCGAAGGGGAAGATTCCCTAAACCCTAAACCCTAGACCCTAAACCCCTAAGCGCATTGAACTTCATGGGATGAGGCATCATGAGGTCGTCGGGCCAGACGCCTCCTCCTGGGCTAGGATCAGCGGCGCGAAGAAACCCAGGTCGACGAGTGCTGCGGAGGGACCTACCCACTTTTCAGTAGGGTGAATGGCTTAGGATCAGTACGTTTGTGGGCTTGTGTACTGAGGAGTTCATGGGGCTCCTGCTGGCGCCACAACAGGGTTTTCACGTGCCATTCGCTTCAAAGCCACGGCTCCATGCATGGTTCTTCAACTTGGTAGGGCACTGCCACACCCATCTGAGACGACTAGTGAGTGGTGTAGGGTTCAGGAATTTAGGGCTTGAAGTTTGAGGATTGCCGTTTCCCCTAGTCTTCCCAGGCCTTTGCAAGCGTGCGAGCCTACAAGCCTGATGGCTTCAACCTCAACCACAGCAGCAAGTGGGAAAGCAACAAACAAGGGGCATGCCACCCTAAACCCTAAACCCTAAACCCTCAACCCTGAACCCTAAACCCTAAACCCTAAAACCGCCAAAAGGCCCGCGCAGGTGCGCCTTCGCGCTGCGCGGCAAGCCCAGCGAGGATAAACTCCTTCTGCGGCCCAGGCTACAGAGGCCGATTCTTTCATGGGAGGGTTTAGGGTTTAGGGTTTAGGGTTTAGGGTTTAGGGTTTAGGGTTTAGGGTTTAGGGTTTAGGGTTTGGGGTTTAGGGTTTTAATCATGGGAGGGTCCCAAATGAGGATTCTTGTGACAAGAGATTCCAGAAAAATAAGATATCTGTAAAGGGACCCTATCACCAGTAGGATATATCTAGTTGTAAAAAGGCTAGGGCGTGGTTCGGGCTTTGTGGGACAGCTGACACTGGTCACTAGTCTGCGGTAAGACTCTATGTCTAAAGTAGGGGACCTGACGTCTGTCCCCTCCTTGGACTTCTGCAACACTCTGCAGCAAATTCTGGGCCAAGTGCATTCCGGACGCAAGATTGTTAGATGTAAGTTGCTGAAGGTTTGGGGGGGGAGGAAGGCCAGAGATAAGGCAAGCTTCCAGAAAGGCGGCAGCCGGCACGACAACCTCTCCAAAGATCACGTGGCCCTTCAACAGCCGCCAGATCCTGCTCTTGGGGGCATTTTGGGTTTGTTGGGCCCTCGGGGGAAGGGGGGGCCTATGACCCCAAACCCGAAATCCGAAACCCGAAACCCGAAACCCGGATCCCCAAACATCCTGGGCTCCGTGATGCGGACCTTGTAGCAAACCTGGTGATGGCGTTTCTTGCCACGCTTCGCAGTGTAATTCGGGCGCTCACATGGCTCTGCTCGGTTATTTAATGGGGGGTCTTTGTAGAGAACAAGAGGAGCTTGAGCTGGAAAAGATTCAGGTGGGGTGCTTCGAAGAACTCGCACACGCCCAAACATCAGCCAAGATTAAGACCAACCGGTCCGTAACATATCCTTTCCAGAACTTGATTTACGGATGCTGTACCCACGCAAAGCAGAACTGTTGAATCTGTTGAAGCTTCCCGAAATCCGAACCCCGGGACCAACTCAAAGAAGTCTGCTGCCAGAAGGCAGAGCTGGGCATCCGCCGCATGGACTCGAGAAAGGGATGCTGGTGCGAAGACCAGCGAAAGAGCGCTTTGCCTGGTCTGGCGCGGGTCTGGGATCTTTATCATATGTGACCTGCCCTAACCAGCCACCCTTTTTGGGTGCGAAGGTGCACTACACAGTAGAACACGATACAATACAAATCAAACAACAACAAACAACACGATGCGTACGACACAGCAGGATGCAATGCCATACGGCACAATACGAAAAAACACGACACAACACGGCACCATTCTACACCACAAGCATAGCAGAATCGAGCACGATGCTTGCACATTGAGACGTTGCATGGATTGGCGTGCGTGCATGCTTGCGTGCGTGCGTGGGTGGGTGGGTGTGTGTGTGTGTGTGTGCGTTCTCACACAAAATAGCATCGTGTCAGACAAGCGGGGTTGATATGGCGAAAACTTGTGTTCAAGTGCACCTTGCAGACGGATGAGGCTGCCGATCACAAGGCTTTTGGCGTGTCTCGTCAGATCATTTGCGTGTCCACCCTCAAAAGGCGAGACGAGCATTCTAATCTTGTTTTGATAGCTTAGACAAACGAAAGTATACGAAAGTTCTGAAAACAGAGTCTCAAAGGTCCATTAAGGAAGACTAGCGCCATTAAGGAAGAATAGCGAAACCTGCCTGAACATAAACCGGCAACATAGGTTGCCGGCAGCAATTCTGATTCCAGGCCGAAGTCACGGAGCAGAACCGGCGGCGACTCAGCCACCGCATCGGACGAGAGCAGGGCGTGGGCCAGCGTGCCACCTTATCTCACAGACGGTCTACAGCGAGGTCCGGGTCAGGATTTCTTTCCGTTTCGTGCACACCATGCACTGCCAAGGCATGTTCTAAGCAGTGAAAATACACTTGGGGGACGAGATGGCGCAGTTCTCAGGAGATCGCCGAAAGCGGGGGGAGGGGGTCTAGCTGGAGTTATTGGCTCATCGCCCTGACCTTAAAACCCAGTGCCTGCTTGGCTCGGGATCACCGCCCCAAAAACACTCCAGACCACCCCAAAATCAGGAAGAATACAAAGCCTCCGTGGCTCTTGGGGCCCCAGCCGAAGCCGAAAGACGAGACCCCACCACAAAGGTCCGCCTGTAGAGGGGGTTCTCGGTATAATTCCAAAGATTCGTGGCTTGCGTTTGGCTTGTAAACCCTAAACCCGAAACCCTAAACCCGAAACGCTCAACCCTCAACCCTCAACCCTAAACCCTAAACCCTGAACCCTGAACTACACCCTAAACCCCTTGTGGGATTCGGACTTGGGCTTCCGGGAGTTGCTAGCGTTTGGGTTTGGAGGGTTCAGGGCCGGGCACGGGGCCGACAGCTCCGCTTGCAAAAAGCGCAGTGCCAACTCAGTGCTCCAGCTTGGGGCTGAGAGTTCGTAAGGCCAGCATGGCTCGTCTTTTATGGTTTAGGGTTTAGGGTTTAGGGTTTAGGGTTTAGGGTTGAGGGTTTAGGGTTTAGGGTTTAGGGTTTAGGGTTTAGGGTTTAGGGTTTAGGGTTTAGGGTTTAGGGTTTAGGGCCGACCACTTCACGGATAAAGGAGGCAAAAGACCATCTCAATTGCTCTGGCCTTAGCACCCCTAGGGTCCCTAGTTGATCTGCGCTTTGTAGTTCTGAGCCAGATTGGAATGCCCACGCCAGGTACTCCGATGGGCCTGCACGCCATCTGCCAAGAAACACGAGGGCCCTGCAGCAACCTCGATGGCAGGGACAGGCAACGATGACATCGATGCCTGGCGGCCGACAACAAGTCTTTGTTACTCACGGCGTGGGTCTCTTTCTCTGTCGGAGGCGCAGAGGGTTTGGTGACCAAAGGGTTTTTTAGGGGCTTGTGAGGAGGCCCCCTGACAATGGTCGCGCGTTCACCACTGGGCCACAGAAGAATGCACATAAGAATGTGCATCTGTGTATATTATATATATATATATATATACATATATAAAGAGCTGTATTGCAATAGATAAATTAACTTCCCCCACCAGACTGTCCACCCTTTCAAGTCTGGACGGACCCACGGATAACCCGCTTGGATTTTTTGGGAACCCTGGGGTCCCTCCGGCACCTTCTGGGGGCCCCCCTCTGAAACCCCTGGTAGCCCTGCTGCAGACTGAAGACAATCTGGATGTTGGGACGCATTTGCGGACGTCTGTTTTTAGGAAGCGAACCAACTGCCCCACCAGATCCCAACATCTTTTCCATGGGGGACGTGGAATCTGTGCCGCGTGACCGGGTCCCCTGAGAATCCCAGGACACACTTTGAAACCTGCAAACGCGTACACGATGTTCCCCATTCCCCCGTCACCGCGCATTCCACCGGCCTTCCCAAAAAAACAAGGCACTACCAAGCTCAAGGGGCCACTATCTCAGTGCCCATGGCCCATGGCACTATCACAGTGCCTGGGCATGATAGCGGAGCAACCAGCGCTCACAAGCGCAGACCAAATTGGTAGGAAACAATTGGGAATAGTTGTAAACTGTGCTGAAGCCCAAGAATGCCTCTAACAGACCCTGATCAAGGAGGCCCATGCCGCAAGTCAAGTCTTCGGATTTCTTGAGGCTGTGATGTTCAACTGCCTTCCTGTTCGGGCAGTCGCACAAGCTTGGCTGTCTTGAAATGTCTTGATCCTAGTCTGCTTCTCACACTGCCGTGCAACCCCGAAACCCCGGGCGACATGCCTGGCGAAGGTGCACTAATGGCGAGCTCTGGGCGAAGAGTCCACGGAGGCCTGCAAGGGACCGCCATGGCATCCATGCCAACACTGGGCCCTGAATGAA